ACCCCTTCAGATCCCTACATTTGTATCTTTGGGGTAAATACCCAGGAGTGCAATTGCTGGATAGGATGGTAGCTCTATTTTCAACTTTTTGAGGAACCTCCATACTGTTTTCCAGAGTGGCTGCACCAATTTGCATTCCCACCAACAGTGTAAGAGAGTTCCCCTTTCTCCTCATCCCCACCAACATCTGTTAATTTTAGCCATTCTGACTGGTGCGAGGTGATATCTCATTGAGGTTTTGATTTGGATTTCCCTGATGCCAAGCGATGCTGAGCACTTTTTCATGTGTCTGTTGGCCATTTGGATATCTTCTTTGGAAAAATGTCTGTTCATGTCTTCTGCCCATTTCTTGATTGGATCATTTGTTCTTTGGGTGTTGAGTTTAAGAAGTTCTTTATAGATTTTTGGATCCTAGCCCTTTATCTGCTATGTCATTTGCAAATATCTTCTCCCATTCTGTCGGTTGTCTTTTGGTTTTGTGGACTGTTTCTTTCACTGTGCAAAAGCTTTTTATCTTGATGAAGTCCCAAGAGCTAATTTTTGCCCTTGCTTCCCTTGCTTTTGGCAATTTTTCTAGGAAGAAGTTGCTGTGGCTGAGGTCAAAGAGGTTGCTGCCTGTGTTCTCCTTTAGGATTTTGATGGACTCCTGTCTCACATTTAGGTCTTTCATCCATTTGGAGTCTACTTTTGTGTGTGGTGTAAGGAAATGGTCCAGTTTCATTCTTCTGCATGTGGCTGTCCAATTTTCCCAACACCATTTGTTGAAGGGACTGTCTTTTTTCCATTGGACATTCTTTCTGCTTTGTCCAAGATTAGTTGACCATAGAGTTGAGGGTCCATTTCTGGGCTCTCTATTCTGTTCCATTGATCTATGTGTCTGTTTTTGAGACTGTTGAATCACAGACCTGTACCTCTGAAACAAATAATACATTATATGTTAAAAAAAGGAAGAAGATAGCAGGAAGGGAAAAATGAAGGGGGGGAATCGGAGGGGGAGACGAACCATGAGAGACAATGGACTCTGAAAAACAAACTGAGGGTTCTAGGGGGAGGGCGGTGGGAGGATGGGTTAGCCTGGTGATGGGTATTAAGGAGGGCACGTACTGCATGGACCACTGGGTGTTATACACAAACAATAAATCATGGAACACTACATCAAAAACTAATGATGTAATGTATGGTGATTAACATAACATAATAAAAAAAATGATAAAAAAAAGAACTATCATCAAAGGGTGACCTCAGCAGAGAACTACTTAAAAAATCAAGTAGATGGAATGACCTATTTTTGGACAATAGTCAGCTTCTTTCTTCAGTCATTTCTGTCATCATCCAGTGGGTTCATGAACAAAAGGATCCAGTGGCAGGGAAGGAATTCATGCATGTGCTCACATCATGGACTTTATTTACTAAGGCCACCTTGGCTACAGCCTTTGCTGAGTGTTCAATCTGCCAGGAGCTGAGATAACATTGAGTCGCTTATATATCACCATTTATTAGAATGACCAGCTAGCTACCCGGTGGCAGGTTGATTACATTGGAAAGTTTCCATCATAAAAGGGAAGTGGCTTTTTTTTCTCCTACTGGAATAGCCACCTATTCTAAATAAAGATTTATCCTACCTTCATTCATTGATTCTACCAAAACCAACATCTTGGGCTTAACAGAACTCCTTATCCACTATCCAGTATCGTAGGATTACATACAACATTGCTTCTGACCGAGGAATTTACTTCACAGCCAAAGAAGTGTAGCAAAGGGCCCATTTTCATAAAATTCACTGATCTTATCCTACTCCCCACCATTCTGAAGCAACTTGTTTGATAGAACGGTGGAATAGCCTTTTTGGAGACTCATTTATTGCATCACTAGATGGTGATACCTTATAGCGTTAGAGTATTTCCAGAAGGCTATATATTTTCTGAGTTTGCATTCAATGTATGATATTGGCACCACTCACTGTTACCCCTAGGAACCCACCAGCATATTTTTGAAGGGCCCACTAGCATAATTTTTGCTTCATGTTCCCTTGATCTTATGCTCTGGTGGCCTAGAGGTCTTGGAGCCAGAGGGAGGAATGCTGTCATCAGGACACACAACAGTGATTCATTTAGATGGAGGTAGAAACCGACTCCCCACTGAGCAGGAAGTCTGATACAGGGCTGGATCCCAGGACCCTGAGATCATGACCTGAGCCAAAGGCAGATGCTTAACAGACTGAGCCACTCAGGCGTCCCTGGAACATCTGGTATATGAAATGTCATTGAGAATGATGATCCCAAAAGTTAATTCTACTTAAAATTTCACTTTTTTAAATGAACTGAGGTCCCATCCATTAACATTATTTAAATGAGGCAATGGAGTTTTGATTGGCTATCATCACTTTCAATCATGGTTTCCAAGAAAAGTTATTTAAAGGTCCACAATTCTTCATCCTTTGAAACAAATGTCCCATGGAAATTTGGACCCACCTTCCCAAAGTAGGGAGGAAAGTACAAAGCAGAGGGTAGAAACCTTTAGAATATTTGCAGATTGTGGTTAAGTAGGAGATAGAGAATGTGTAGAAACTCCATTTTGACTGGTCTCTAAATATTTTATTATTATAAAAATGTTGCTTCACTGCTTATTTTAAAACAGTGTTTCCTAAGTATGGTTTTAAACCAACAGCATTAACATTGCTAAATCAGAAACACTACTGATGGAGCCTATCAATAGGTTTTCACAAGTTCTCCACATGATCTTGATGCCCACTATAGTTTAAGAACCACCCTTGTAAAAGAACAACATGAATGTCTATATCAGAGATATTTTGACATATACTGAATACACATACTCGATAAGATTTTGCTATAGCTTGTCTCCAACGCAGACATTGAGAAATACTGTTCTAGTGTTGACTGGCGTTTGTCTTAACCTAATTCTGTTGTTTCTTTGAATACAATCTAAGATAATTTTCTTAGCAATCTTCTGAACAGTAAAAAGTATTGTAAACTGATGAGAAAAGTGTATATATACTATATTATTTATTTTTAAAGAGATGGAAGTATGACTTATTTTATTTTAAACATTTTATTCAAGATAATTAATGTATAGTATTATATTAGTTTCAGGTGCACAATACAGTGATTCTACAATAGCATAAGTACTATTAAGGTCAAATGTGATCTAAGAAGAATAAATAAACTAACATGCTTCAAGTGAGTATGCATTCCTATCCTCTTTGTGGTAATCTAGAAATGCATCAAGGTAGTAGTTAACATTTAAACTGATAGACCTTGAAGAAAAGACATCATTTCAATTACAAAATAAGATGGACAGTTGTGGGGTGGGATGGAGGATTTTATTCTCTTTGGAGAGACCCATACAGGCAAAAGGTTGAACTGAGAGAGTGAGATGTGTCTAGAAGGCTTTCAGTAACTGTGTGTATGGGTGTGTATGGGTTTAACACAAGGTCCATTAGAAGAATTAGGGGGGAAGGACTTTAACGTTAAACCAAGGTTTATTTAAAAAAAATTCAATTAACTCCAGGGTGAACAAATGCAGGGTGAAGAAGATACTTATTGATATATGGATATAGATATAAGTGTAGATCTAAGTAGATCTATATCACATAATCTGGACTTACACACAAGCAAAAAATTTATGCATATGTATATATAGAGAGATCTACATAAATATACCATATATAATACTACCTGACCTAGTAGCAAAGACAATCTATTAAATGTTATTGAAAAGAGATATCATTTAATCTGAGCTAAATTTACAAAGTTCAGGAAGTAAGAGAGATTCAGCAAGAAGGTAAGGATAAGTAATTAGAGTTTGCAAATCCCGGAAGTGGGTAGTTATGGGGATAACAGCCTCAGTGGTATCGGTGGGATTGTGTATGGAATCAGTGGTAGAGAGAAAGGGTAGGTGTGGATTGAAGTGGGATCACTCATTACACTTTGCAAATGGAGTGTGAGGAAAACTAACATTTATGGACTTTGAGGCACAAAACATTCTAACTCTCTGTAGGCATTCACTGTGACATTATATCATGTTAACATTATTTGGACTTCGGTAACATGCATTTAAAGCCCCTCATTGTCACCAGCACATTCCAATAAACTACATATTATTGATTTCTTAATCTTTCTAGCTTAATTTTTTTTTTTTTTACTTCTAGGAAATTTGAAACCATTCTTTCCTATTCAGTCACTTTTGTCTATGTCCACCCCAACTTAAATCCTCAGTTGAATCTGTTAGCTTTCTTTATTAGTGAAGTTGTCTAGATTGCCCAACAACATACAAACACAGCTAGAAAGGGCCTATAGAAGGCATCATAGAAAGTGAGAGGCAACTTGCCTCTAACTTCCTTTAAGAAGCACACTAAGTTAAGAGCATCTCTTTCGCCTGACGCTTTCTTCATTGTCTTAAAACCCTTGTCATTTTCTTCCCTCATTGCTCCCATTTCTTTTTATTTCTCTGTGATATCAGAGTTGAATCCACAAAAGAGGTAAAATTCTCCACGCCCCAAATAAAGTAGAAAGAGAAACCTTTTGATGGCTGGCAGAATTCCTGGGATTTGCCTCTGTTCACTCAGACACAAATCTGCCTCCACTATCCAGTTAAATGTAACATGGATTTTGGCTATACAGCTGTTTATGTATTAAAGACATCACAATCAAGTTCTGTTCAGAGGCACTGTGCTACTTTAGTACTTAATGCATTTATAAAGTCACACCAAAGAACAGACAATCCTGTGAAATATTTTCATTTTTGTTTTCTGCTTTAATTATTTAAGTATGATATGAATAGTTGCTTAAAATTCCTTGTGTGATTTGAATAATATGCACAAATATTTTAAGGAGATATTAGGTTCTCCCACCTTAAGTCATTAAAAGACTAGGACAATTATAATTGTAAAAAAAAAAATTAAATACTACTCAACTCATAGTAACATTAGTTGGCACAATTTTGTCTTTTTAATGGAAGGAGAATAGATACTAGTATGAAATCTAAGCATTTCTCTTTAACATTTTTCTCAGTGAATCTACGACTTTCTTATTTCTCAGGCTGTAGATCATTGGATTTAAGAAAGGAATTATTATGGTGTAAAATAGAGAGTCCATCATATCTTGATCATCTGCCTGTGCAGATTCAGGGCGCACATACATGAAGAGAAGGATAAGAGATGGTCTCCACAGGTGGAGAAGGCTTTCCTTATGCCTTGCAGAGACTTCTTTTTTAAGATTATAAAAAGAATTAATGTGTAAGAGATAAGAACAATCAGAATGGTGAGCATCTGAATTGACACAGAAAAAATAAATACTATGAGAATATTAAGAGACGGATCAGTACAAGAAATTTTAAATAATGGCATGATGTCACCGTAAAAGTGATGTATTATGTTACTATTACAGAAGGTTAATCTGAATAAAAAGCCTATATGAATTATGGCATCAAAAAGGCCACCTACAAATGATGAAATCAACAGCTGCATGGAGAGTCTGTAAGTCATAATTCTTGGATAAAGTAAAGGCTTGCATACAGCCACATACCGATCATATGCCATTGTTGCCAGGAGAAAACATTCTGTGGTGGCACCGACGTAAAGGAAAAAAATTGTATCATGCATTCAGAGAGAGAGATCATCTTATTCTTGGCAAAGAAGTTGACCAACATCTTGGGGGATACTGTAGATGACATCCAAGCATCCACAAATGCCAGACTCCCAAGAAATAAATACATGGGAATGTGAAGGTGAGGATCATTGCAGATGAGAACAATCAGACCAAGGTTTCCCACAATGGTGATGAGATATATAACCAAGAACACCAGGAACGAGGGAATTTGCCACTCTCGTTGATATGTGAGTCCCGTGAGAACAAACTCTTCCAGCTCTGTTGTATTTTTAGTTTCCATAATCTTAATAGATGGCTTCTGAAATTAAATGTGGTATATTTAAAAAGAACATTCATTAAAGATTTATAAAAGACAATTCAGTGAGGGTAACTGAAATAAAATCATACAGTGGGCTGTAATTTTATTTATTCTAACAAGGCAACTATTTGTGGGAATTGTTATACTGGAAAAATACAACTATTTAAGTTCATACTATGTGCAGAATAAGCAGATTTGGAAGACAAGAAAAACATTCTGAACATGAGCAAATTTATGGGGTAACCATTGAATGAGGTAGGCAAATTCTGTGTGTAAGACATTGATGCAGCAACAAAAGTAAAGATGTTAGAAGGGCCTGGATTGTACAGTGAGTCAATGCCCTGTGAAACATCTTCAAATTTATCCTTCAAACAATAGGTTGGGACTGAAAATTTTAAGGAAGGAAGTGGCATCCTAAGATATTTATTAAATTAAATGTTTGGTTGTAGAAAATAGGCTGAAGAGAGAGGAAACTAGAGTAAAGGACACCAATCAGGAAGTTGTTATTATTGTCCAGTGATTCCCAAGCCAAAATATGCATCAAAATTATCTAGGAGAGTTCTTGTACAAAATATAGATTCTGAGATATTACAATAGAAATTGATTTGGTAGGTCATGAATTGGTTGTAATAATATGCATTTTATAAATGTTGCCAGTTGATTAAACAGCATATGAAGTTCTTAGACTATGTGTGATATGACATGGGGAGTAATGAGGAGGACAAAGAGGTAGCTCAAAGTCAACCAGAATGTACAGTCACTAGGACTCAGTGACATATTAGATGGGAAGGGAGGTGGTCAGTGAAGGAAAAAGAAGACACTTTGTGCCTGGGTAGATGGTCATCAAAAATTGAGACTGAGGACTCAGGTGTGGTAGCCAGTTTTCACAAGGAACATTCTGGGAACATCTGGGTGAGATATATTCAGCAGTATGGTTTTATAAGAGCTTAATAGAAATGATGACTGGGAGCCATTAGGGTGACTAAAAACATAGTTATATATGATTCACCATTGAAGAGTGTGCATAAGGTAAAAAGAAAGAGGACATAGAAAGAAACTCAAAGAAGTTTTATTAAAGAGATTAGAAAATGGGTATACATGATGTATTTGTTGGATAACATCTGATCCTATGTTCTGCTACATGAGTCCTGGTGGCAGAAAAAGCTGTCATCTGGTCTAGAGGCCAAAAGTTATAGATGTTGACATTCCCATCCCCTAGCACCTAGAATGAGGGGACTTGATGTAGGTTTGCCAAACTCACCTACACTGGATTTGGAATATGGAGAGAAGGACACAAAGGGTCAGGGGAAAAAAAAGAGAGTTTTGATTACAAAATCAACCAAGGGAAAAGTAGAAAATGTATCCTACACCCACAACAATGGCATTATCAGTTGAGCTGTTGCATTCTGCATCCAGGAGCAAGGACAGAAGCTCTTATCAAGCTATATATACTAGGGACATGATTTTGGCTGTTTGACAGGCTGTCTTTCTGGCATTGTGTTCCTGCCCATTTTTCCAGTGGATTTCTCCAATCCCCTAGCATTTCTATATTAAAGCCAATTCCCACTCACTTAACCCATCTCCTCTTGCAACCAAGAGCTCTGGATTAGACAAAACAAGAAAAGGAAAGACCAGTAAGGACACTGAGCAGAGTGATCAAAGAAACATGAAGGAATAGGAAAGGTGAGTGTTCCAGAATTAAAGAGAGAAAAACACTCAAGAAGGACAAAGTGAAGTACAGTGCCAAAAGTGAAAAGTGCTCTGGTGGAATAAGGAGTGATCAGCGATCATTAAGTGTGGAATTAAGAGATTCATAGTTGTGGGAAACAGAACGCCACAACGACCACTGGTGCATGTTCATTCAGTCTCCGAGATCTCTGAGAAAACTCGAGATTGCAGGGTTAAAAATAACCCAAAAGGATCAGAGTGAAATGCCCTTGGGATGTGTATGGTCTGTTCTAAAGTACACAGCAGAAGATATTTTGTAGATAGGAAGCCAGCTGTAAACAGCACACTGGGCACTCCCTCCTTTGTTCTCTTATCCTGTGTTAAGGTCTGAGTACAATGGTGTTTACAATTAATTGATCACAGCCAGTTACAGATTTCTTTACTCCTTCTCCACTCCCACTGCTTCACTTAACTAACCCTGTGTACATGGAAGAATGTGCCTTATACTAAACCCCTGCTTTAAATCATTATAGACCTATATCATCGTAGAAGGTATATTAGATTATGGAAAATAAACCTTGGCACCTCGGGCTGTTTGCTCAGGGTCCCCTGTGCCTCTCTATACTGTCGTCTCTTTTTCTCAGTTCTTTCGCCACCCCAGGTCCAGGACTCTCAGAGGTCGACACATAGTGGTTTAATGAGAGCAGTTTCCATTTTCTGATAGAGTTGAGGTCAGAGAGTAATAAGAAGTGAATGGGAAACAAGGGGCACTGCAGTGAGGAGAATGAAATAGGGTATTCCAAGGAATGTGGGGAGCAGTGGGGATCATCTGCTGCCCACTGAGTATCCATAGTGTGTTCATAGATGGGTAGGGATAGGAAAGGCCAGGCCCTGAAGAGAGATAGAGGAAGTATCAGAGAAAGGCTGAAGATGAAATAAAGGGAAAAGCTCAGAGATTGGGGCTAAATGTTTGTCTTAATTCTGGTTTTCATTAAAAGTTGTCAATACTGGGTATCATTTCTATTTCTTTCATTCCAAATTCCAACTTTATTTTTCTATGGAAAATGCGTATGAAATAGAAACTGTCATTTTAATTTTAGGCCAGAAATTTTGTATTGTTCACAAATATATGAGCACTGCTGAAAGTTCTTTCCATATTTAAAAGTTACTTTATCTTTGTTTTTACAGTAATTAGAACTGACTTTCTCTAGCTATTCCCGTTTTACTCGAGAGCCCTTTCCTCTCCACCAGGTTTTTAGCAGAATAAAATCGAACAAAAGACTGGAACCTAATCCAGGCAATCTAAATAGCCAATGCCAATGATTGCAATTGGTAAATGTATATTTATTTGGAATGGGTTTCCCTCCATACAATCCCAAACTACTAAATAATTGAAAATTCAAGTTCAATCATTGAGCCTTTATTAAGTCAGAAAGTAGAAAGAACCCTGGAGGGATATTTTCTGCATTTTTCCTCCTATGTATATATATAAATTACTCAATGAAATTATTGTCAGAAGTGGGTGAAAGGATACACAGGTGAACAGTTTAGTGATTTAACTTAAAAGCTTAATCAGAGAATGTGGTTAATTAAATGGAATAAACATTTTGAACAGAATCATCAGAAAGATTTCTTACATGGGAAACATTATGACCTAAATCCTTAAACCCATTTTTAAATTGTCTAACATTCTAGTTCACCAAGCTTATCCTATGGGAGTCATTATAATTTTGCTATGATTGATGATTAAAGAGTGCAATTTAGTCTTCGAGCCATTTTGCTTACCCAGATTTTACTCACAATAGTAAAACATTATTAGATTATTCACTATTTGTTTTCTAGTTTGTTTCAAATTTTTATTTAAATTCTAGTTAGTTAATATATAGTATCATACAAGTTGTTTCCCATTTTCAACCTGCTATTTGGTCATGTTATAAACCAAATCAAAATTATTTATAAACATAACAGTATTTTTAACTTTCTATAAAAAACAATGAGTATTACATAAATCAATCTCTTACCAATATCTCTTAAGACATTATGGAGATCCTATCAAGGCTGGGCTTTCTCAAGTGGAAAAAAATTTTGTTGCACCAGAATGACCATAGCACAGGCAGCAACTCTTTGCAAACTGATTCATTTTGGAGGCTTCATTTACCAAACTCAGCAAAATGCTGTTTATATAAATTTGTGTTGAACACAAGAGTCAACCAACTGTACATCTGTGTGCTTTTGCCAGAAGAAGACGGCGTGAAGAGCTAAAATTCCCCTAATGGCATCCAAGGGTTCCCTTTAGGACAAAACTAAGCTGTTCTTCTGGGCATTGCAGATTTGAATCTGTATGAGAAGTCCAGGAGTCCCATCGGGCATTACAGCCTGCGAGATCAAAAACATCATGTCACGTATACAGTTCTAGTTGCAACAGTAGAAATTGCACTTTATGCCCCTGCTTTCCACGACAAATGACAATTCTGACATGTTTATGCAAATCAGTATCTATAAAATAGGTGTTCTGAGTGCTTTGATCAATATGTTCTTGTCTGAGCTAATCATACATGATTTATTTTAATCATACATGATTTTACTGAGGCCAGAGTTTAGATTCCCTTCAGGAGTCAACTCCAAGGAAAGTGGTCCTCCTCACGCAAACTGCAGCTCACATTCCAGACTTTGACCTGACTCCACACTTTAAGCTGAAATCTGATGAAAAATCTTAGGCAAAGGTCAGGGGAAGTGCAAAGGGAAACAAAGATAAAGCACTGCAGTGAGAGGTACCATAGCTCAGTGCTTCTCAAACTTTAATGCCTGTGAATCTCCTAGAGAGAAATCTTGTTAAAATGCAGATTCTGTGTCTGTAGATCTAGGAGGAGCCTGAGGGTCTTCATTTCTAACATGGTGATTGCTGCCTCTGGTCTTGTGTCATCCACAAGACCTTTATTGTTGGAGGGCCTAGATTATCAGAGAGCCCAGATCATAGGAGAAGCACTGCATTGCAAATGTGGCTGGCATGTTATGAGAGAAGCAGGCAGGAACCAGTTGGGGTCAGGGAGGCCAGCATATAATCACAAGGGACCTTGGAGGATGGGTCAGGGGCTTTATTCTTTACCCTAACGTAATGTAAAACTATTGAGGGATTTAAAACTTGGTTCAGATTTGTCTCAACAGAGGAAGTTGCCAATGAACATTCGTTCAGAAAAATAAAACTTAATTTACTTGTTTATGACAATTTGATTTGATATCTTAAAAAAAAATTAACCTCCAGTTGCATCATGGCCAGCAACATAGGCAAGGAAAAGAGACGTATTTTTTGATAG